CCCCCCCCCCCCCCCCCCCCCCCCCCCCCCCCCCCCCCCAGAACTCTTGCCCACTGATACTCAATTTGGTTTCCATATTTGACTATCACTACCGGAGGACATAGTAAGAGTTCTGTTGAAAACACAGCAGTCTAAAAATGAAGACAATTCATTTAACGATGGCATATAAAGGACATTTCTATTTGCCTTGCCCAAACTCTTAGCTTCACAGAGCCAGGTGGTTAGATTTCTTGCCACTTTTTTCTGAACGTCAAATGCACGACTTTTACGTTTTTGAGTCTCGGTGTGTCTCTTTAAATGTGTGGCTTCACTATCTGTGACAAGTTTTCATTTTTCCCTCAGTCGTATACGCAGAATTTATCCTATAGTCGTGATAACGTAGTCCCCTCCGTGTTCTGAAGTGCGGGACCTCAGATTCCTATGCAACAGATGGAGGTCATCTGTCTGTGCACTTTTTGCCTAAGCTGCTGAGATCCCTTCGAAGTGAAATTGGCCATAGTAATCTTTGCCTCATGCATGACTGTAAGCACGACCTCCAGTGGGTCAGAAGAAGCAGCTCAGTGATTGTTCTCGTGGCCAAAACTAAAGCACAAGGTTACCAGAATTGAAAAAGCCCCCAGTTGAGGGAGGCACGGGGTGTCTACACCCCAGCTGGGCAGCGCGATCCCTGTATGAAACCGTACTCTCCTGGCGGTAGCTGACGGAGGACATCTGCGTGCCTCTGTCGTGACACACGTTAGGTATGTCTGAAAAGCTACAGACCCCACACCCAAGCACAGTCCTGTCTCCTCCACCCGAGGAACCACACACACAAGAATGAAAACCACACCCACAGAAAACTGAGTATGTATTGTAGAAATGTAGAGGAAAAATAAAAATATTTTTTCAAATGTAATTACTTTTAATATATGCTTGTGGAAGGTCTAATACAATGTATGCTGTCTCTGTAATTTTTGCTGTAAATAACTGGAGACAGTGAATACACTGATTTTTCTATGTCTCTGTTTAAGCTTAAGACTTTGTAACAATTTTTTTAGAGGGGGAAAACCAACAAAGAGCAAATATGTACTTGCTTCCTTTCTGCGTGTTATGTACTTCTCAGAAACTGGTTGTAAACAGGTTAAGCATCTTGACGGGCCATTGGTGTCATGTGTACACTTCTTTTTGTAATACAGCTGAGAAAGGGACAGGGCTGTCGATTAGATGTGCTCCAAAGAATTTGTACTGAAGATTGGCCTCTAAGACCTGCAAACGCTATCTGAACTAGACGACGTGAAAAAGGAAAGTTAAAAAGAAAACAAAAACAAAAGCAAAACAAAACAAAACAAAAAAACACATTGCCTGAATAAGTCATCTTTCCTTGTAGCAAATGGCTTTGTCCAAATCCTTTCTGCATGGACTAGCTTAAGGAACACAAACTCTGCTTTCTGATGAACAAAATATTTTTATACACGTTTATTTCGTATTAGTAGCCTGAGGTCAGATCACTCATTCGCTGAAGCCATAACTGACCTTCACCAAATAAATGTTGTAAAGAACCTGGGGGAGGGTTGGGGGAGAGCCCAAGAGGGAGGAAGATCGAAGGTGATATGAGCTCTAACAACACAGGCAGGAGCAAGTCCGATGAACCTGATGCTTTTCCTGCATCCCAAATAGGACTTTAAAAGGCTAGTATTTTATGATGATCGATTTATAATAAAAAAAAAAAGATATTTAGATTTAAATGAGACTTTCCAGTATTTTTTAAATCCCTGACAATGCTTCCCTGCTTTTAGGATTGAGAGAAATGATTTTCATATGCTTCCAACATTCAGAAATGTAATTTTTACGTTAGCTCCAACCTGCACGTCTAAAGCGAAGAACGACTCCAAGTCCCCCAGCGGTTGGGGAACCGGGGACTGTCGGGGGCTCGGCTGTACCTACCGACCAGAATTGCACCTTGAGGGGCGGCCGTGAGGTGCACCTGACATCTCTTGTTAGCATGCACACCGTTGCTGGCAATGCACAAGAGTTGCATTGCCAAACATACATAAAAATAAAAGCATTCACTCTAAAAAGCATATTAATTGTACTTTTTTTAAAAGAATAATGCCTCCCATAGTCACCATTGATTTTTCTGGAGCTTAATTACACTATTACCGTATATTACTATTATTATTGGCCTATAGAGGCAAAAGGCAAACCACAAATAAACCCAGTGACATATAGTTTTAAAATCTACAATTTTCTGATCTCTCTCTCCTTGTTTAATATATAAGCCCTAATTTCTGTGTACGTGAGTAAAACTGCAGCCTGAGTCATTTAGGAAGTAAGCATTGAGTTGTTGTTTTGGGTTTTTTTTATTATAAATATACTAGAATAAAACAGCACTCCCTAACAATTAAAAAAAAAAGAGTTTTATATTACTTTAGAATGTAATAGGTTTTTGTCCTTATTTTATGTCCTGTAAATTATTAGTTGAATACTGTTAGCATTCCCTGATAATGCACACATGATTTCTGAATGTTTTCTGTAAATGACAATCAATGTTTATGAAGTTCCCTCCTTTAATGCTGAACAAAATTAAAAGAAGAAAAAGATGAAAATCTTGCCTAGTCGTTTTCTTTCCCCTGACAGGGAACAAGGAGGGAATGAAAAAGATAAATTTGGCTTTCAAAACATTATCCCATGGGCCCTCACCTACAGAGTTGCCCCTTTTCCAAGAAATCATGGGTAATTTCTTTCTGGCAATTCTTCTGCCCTCATGGACCTGGCCTGAGTTAGAAGTGCTCATTGAGAGAAGACCCACACTTCACTGTAAGTTACAATTAAAAGCAGCAGCGGGGCACCTGGGTGGCCCAGTCGGTTGAGCGTCCAGCTCTTGATTTTGGTTCGGGTCATGATCCCAAGGTCATGGAATTGAGCCCATGCTGAGCATGGAGACTGCTTAAGGTTCTCTCTCTCTCCCCTCACCTCTGTCCCTGCCCCCTGCTCATTCTCTCCCCCCACCAAAAATAAAAATAAATAAATAAATAAATAAATAAATAATGAAATTAAAGAAATAAGAACAGCAGCTCTCAAAGATGATGGCCCTCCTTTTCTAGAATTTTCATGAAAGAAAGCCCCAACTAGCAAAGCCATAGCAACGCCTCCGCAAACACTTTGTTGGAACCTCTTGCCGCAGGTTTACAATAAATGTGACAATCC